TTTAAAAGGCAAAATTAAGTCCTAAAGCAACTGGGCACTGTTTTTAACAAATGCTACTCAAACAGAAGTAAATAGTGTATTTTTTAGGGACTATTTTCATCTGCGGATTAACACACATTTGGTTCTCCAGTGAGTATTTAAGACAGCAGGACAGTGTGTGTGTTCATGGTGATAAAAGAACATGTGACCCAGTGCAATAGTGTGGCTCACTGATGTGTTTTTAATGTATTTTTGGGCAACACTGAGCTCAATGGCACAGAGGAGTAAGATATATCAGGTTTTGATACACACACAATACTTGTTAGTAGGTTAAAGCTCGGGTAGGTAACGTAGGTGAAAACTAGCAAGAGACAGCTAGATTTTTAAATTATCCAAACAAAAAATGCATAAAAAAAAATCTAAAGCACTAAAGACAATAGTCGGCAGTTTTGTAGTTTAAAATGCCAAAACACTGCTGTGTTTCTTATAACACCCGCATTTTTTATGTCTCTGCACATAAAATATGTTCAGTAAAACTGTCTGACTGCATCCAAAATGTATGTGTTTCTCTTCATTTGACTGAATTATTCAAGTGTGCAGATTTTTATGAGTACATGTGCATGTTTATGCTCACATATGAGACTGAAGGGTGACAGGGAGGATAAGCAGTGACTCCCTTTGTTGTCTTCCCTGATAAATGGAAGTGTTAAGGGTTTAATCTCAGGAGCAGTTTCATGTTTGGTTTTGTTGTTTTCATGGGATTTGTTGACAATTATTTATGTCCTGCAGACTCACAACACTGTTGAATGCTCCCTCTATTTTTATAACATTATCCCAAAGAGCCAATTTGGGCTCAAAATGTACTTTTTGCTAATGTTATAAAATATACATTTTAAAAGGGAGCATTGAACAGTGTTGGCAGATATAATTCAGTTTTTTGGGATTCTGCATCTAGACAAGAAAGACGCGAGTGTTCAGCACACTGATTTGTTGACATTAGGAAAAATATTGAATATCACTGGACTTATCCCTTAATGATCTTGTCTGCCAACACGCAGTCATTTTATGCTGTCTAATTGACCCAAATCAGACTAGGTTCCTGGCTCCCAGGAATTTCTTAAGGGGAAAAGGAGACTGTACCCTATGGATTTTTTTCTGTGAATGCATGAGTGAGTCTGCAACACTGGATGACGACACCGTCAGGACATCTTCCAGCTTCTTCCTCCTTTGTATACAATACACAACATAACAGGTGTGAAACAAACCTGAGAAAAGCTTTCTTCCCTCCTCTGACATCAGATAACAGGCCAATGCCCTCACTCATTTTTCATTTCAGACAGACAGGACCCAAATGTCTTCAGCATACTTTGTAATCATTACGAACGTTTGTTTTTTTTATCAAGCAAAGCAAACCACAGCATTGTCTTGTTTGAGTTTGCCTTTGTTTTCCTTGAAGGATGTCAACCACACTTCAAACTATCTCATTTGCTTTTGCAGCCTGTTAGCTCTGGGTTTATCTTCATTCAAATTACAAACAAGAAACCGCTAAGGGCACGTTTTGCTAATAGAACAGCACACATTGATTCTCTTCTTTGCTTAAATCTAAAATGTTAATCAATACCCCGAGAGCTTGTGGCTGGTCTTTAGAGGAATGTGCAACAGAGAGTCTACACAGTTTCCCCAGATGCTAGTGTTTTTTAATCTGCTGAATGGATGACTGACTACATGGTCTTTTGGGAAACTACACAGCTGAAGGGTTTTGTTAAAAAAAAAAAAAAACATTTCGAAAAAGTGACACCTACTCTTACAAGATGACTCATAGCAGAAACAAAAAGGAACAAGTATTGGATTGGATGGATGTATTTCAAAGATAAGGTTTCCTTCAAAAGGAAAAATCCACCCTAAAGAAATACATGACTTATAGTTAGACTCTAATGCTAAGGCTTCTGTCTCATGTCAAAATGAGAGTTGTGACACTCCCAACTGCGGGCGCACATTCTGGTCTTTATCTTTTCTACAATGGATTTTCCCTCTTGCTCTATATTATAAGCACTTTATTAGGTACACCTTGCTAGTACTGTGTTTTTACCCCCTTTTGCCTTCAGAATTGCCTTAATTATTCGTGATAACAACTTTCAACAAGGTGTTGGAATCATTCTTCAGGGACTTTGGTCCACATTGACATGAGAGCATCACACAGTTGCTGCAGATTTGTCAGCTGCATGTCCATGATGCGAATCTCACGTTCCACCACATCACAAAGGTGCTCTATTGGATTGAGATCTGGTGACTGTGGAGGCCATTGGAGTACAGTGAACTCATTGTCATGTTGAGAAAACCACTTAGAGATGGTTTGAGCTTTGTGACATGGTGCATTATCGGACCATTCTCTGTAAACCCCAGAGATGGATGTGCGTGAAAATCCCAGTAGATCAGCAGTTTCTGAAATACTCAGACCAGCCCGTCTGGAACAAACAACCATGCCACGATCAGATTCACTTAAATCTCCTTTCCTCCCCATTCTGATGCTCAGTTTGAACTTCAGCAAGTTCTCTTGACCACATCTACATGCCAAAATGCATAGAGTTGCTGCCATTTGAGTGGCTGATTAGCCATTTGTGTTAACAAGCAATTGAACAGGTGTACATAATAAAGTGGCCGGTAAGTGTATATCAAGCAAAAATTCTTATTTCAGAAGCTGGAACCATTATATTGTTGGCAAGTCCACAGCTGTGCTAGCGGCTCTGTGAGGCTGTTCACAGCGTTACTTTGAGCTAAATACCGAAGTCAGAACGCTAACATGCTGATGTTTAACTGGTATAATGTTTAACATGTTCACCATCTTAATTTAGCATGCTTACATTTGATATATAGCACTTATATATAAAACAGAGCAAAGTCGGATGGGAACATCATTAATTTGGTCATATTGGACAAATAAAACTTAGATGATGGTGGTAGTTGGACAGTCAGAGGACAACCAAAGTTAATAGTGTCTTTTCCAGATTTACTGGCAATCAAATAACTGTAGAGATATTTCAGACTGGACCAAAGAGCTATGCTGCTAGCACGTCTAAAAAAATACAGTTTACCAAATATCAACATTTTTGCTGATTAAATATTTGCCGAAATATAAACATTTCAACTATCATAGCCCTCCATGTTTTCAGTGACAGTAGGAAACCCTGGGTGATGAAGTCATCCATGTGCCACGAGACGCCGAGATACAGATGGTGTCTTTCTGCTTGTTGCTCCTGAAAATCATCCATCTTGTAATCTGTCCATTAATCACAATCATAAACGGCAGGTGAACAGTAGGCTCCAGTAACTGTGCAACATTGACAGCTGGATAGTGTAAATGTTTATAGGGGGCTGGGGAAGCGGCGCTGGGATGTTTACTTGTTGGTACTGAGGAGCCTGCTGCACAACAGGAGCCAAATCTTACTGGACACAATTACCAAAACTGTTGCGGTTCGGTTACCAGGACAAAAAAGATAACAATGAAAGAAATGAGCCTTATTTATGGTGCAAATGTGACGCAGACATACAGTTGGAGGAGGGTAAACAACAGTGTAAGGGGGTAGAATTGTCCCTGCATGGAAGCCACTGAGGAGCCCACGGTCCATGTGCACGTCTGTATGATGATTAACTGTAATTACCAAAGCAGTACCTGGCCTGCATGCCAGGAGGCAGCCCAAGATTAATGGGGCTCTGCTCAAAACGGAACAAAAGCTCACATTTCCAAGGTAATGAATCGCTCTGGTACTAAGGCGTCTTCACATGGTGCGCCTGGGCCCCCAGGGAAGTTCATTACAACGGGAGGAACAGATAGATCCTCTGCAGCATTTTCAAACAGAGAGAGCAAGAATGGCGAGCAGGAGGAAGTCTTAAATCGTCCCAGACATCCTGGTTGCTGCACTGCCACTATAACCAGAAGGGACATAAACAGCCTCTTCAGTGCTTCTTAAATGGATGGTAAACATTACACAGCAAACTACCTTGTTTGCATTGTCCTTCTTCTACACAGGCTGTTTCAACAATAAAGCTTAGCGTTAATGCAAACTGGTTAAGTAATGAAGATAGACTGGATTGATGGCTGTGAGGAGTGACAAATCTTGCAGTGAGTTATATTTCCTTACCCATTCATAAACATTTTTAAGAGAAGGCTTCAGCTGAGCTGACATGCCACTTAGCATTATCTGTATTAAAGGAAGCAGGTTTCATTTGTACAGGAAGCATGCAGTTTAGTAAAGGCTCGAGGGTTAAATTTTATTACAAGTGTCTCCTGTTATAAATCACCGTCCAAGGAGTAACCTGCAGATTAATGGTGACATTTTGTTTGGTGCTGTAGAGGTTAATCTATGGTTTTTGAAAAATGAGTGACACAAAACAGAAAACAGCCACTGAACAATGTGTGAAAGAGGCTCATGTGAGATTTAGCATTAAGAATTCTGCAGTAATGAAGGTGATGTATGGAAATGGGCATCAATTATTGGAGGTCAAACTCCTTGAGGCAACAATGAGAGGATTTACAGGCAGCAACATTTTTCATGCCCTTGAACATGTTACCTCCAGATATGTAGGTCGATAACAAGATGAAATAGAACCTAACGGGAGGTTTTAATGATTACAACCCACACAGGTCACATATTTCTTGGCCCATTAAGTGACGTAAATACTTGAAGGAAACGCAAGTTGAGACATGCCCCGCTTTGCATCACGGTGTCTGCAGTGGTGCCTTGAAAATCCAAAGGCCCTTTTTGTTTACAAGCTTCTAATCATGTTAATGACACTTTTCTCCCATGCAGGCCATTTTTCAATTGATGACAAAGACCAAAATAAAGTGACAACGCGTGGAATTTGTGCAGGTGCACAGCTGACGGAGATGAAAGAGATGCAAGATTCAACCTTTAAACTGCCATTTATCAGGGAAGACAACAAAGGGAGTCAATGCCATTATGCTCCCTGTCGCCCTACAGTCTGTGTGTACGACTCAAAATAAACATAATAATAAAACCCTGCACACTTCAGTCATTTATTCACATGTAAAGAAACAGGACTTTACATTATGGATGCACTTACAGTTTAAGTGAACATACTGTATGTACAGAAAAGTGAAAAAATGTTATAAAGGGCCATAACAGTGTTTTTATGCTAACCTCAACTAAAACTAATGTAATCATCATTTGTAATGGTTTGAAATGTTTCTTCCTTCTTTGCAGTCTGGACATATTCTAGATTTTTCTTTTTGTAAACAAATCCCATGAAAGGATCAAAACCAAAAATCAATTGATTCTACTGACAAGTATTTAAGGTCAAGGCATGATACATCTTATCCCTCTGTGTCACTGAGCTCCATTGTTGTCAATTAAAAGTAGTTGTTGAATCAGATTTTATTCCACGCATTCTTCTTCCCTGTCAAAACCTGACACCAGATTACCCACAATGCAAGTGCAGACAGTTCAGTTGGAAATTCAGATGTTAAGCTAGTAGTGGCATGTAGCCTCAAGCAGAGATGAGCAGGCTACAGGGGTCTGGTAAACTCACTTCTTTCTAACTCCTCAGCTGCAGATTTGTATTTTCAAACAAAAGGCTTTATACGACTTTTTTCCCGCCTCCACATACAGCAGTACTCCCCAAGAACCGTAAACAGACTTTGATATGTACAAATCAGTGGAGTTCCCCTTTAAGATGAACATGAGCACCGTTTATTTTGACTCAGTCCCACATTCACCAACCTGCTGCTGTAAATACTCCCAGTGCACCAAATGTGTATTAATCCACAGCTGAAAATAGAAACAGTCCCCAACATATGCACGATTTACTTCTATTTGATAAGCGTTTGCTACAGTTCCCAGCTGTCTGAGGAAAATTACTGAGCCTTTTTTAGTATAAAGAGTATAAAGTATAAAGATTTACATATTTTTTAGGAACCAGCGTGCTTGGGGCTCAGTGCCACAGACAGGGTAGAGAAGTAGGAAAGTGTTGAGAGATGAAGCAACGCATTGTTGGTTATGGCCTTTTCATATTTGTTGACAATGAAAATAATGTATCCTTGCGGTCTCAACATGTGGAGTTTTTTTTTTTAATCATTGTGAAATGAATAGAAACCACTAAACATGACAATCATGCTCAAAACCTGTAATAGGCCATTACATATGTCTGACAATAAAGTGTACCTATGCTGAATGGTTGTGAACGAGCTAAAACATGCATCAACACTGATACTGCCCTTTGAAAGATACATCAAATTATCCTATTACCATGAAAGCGTTTGTATTTGTACAACAGAGAGAGTGAGGACTTTTTAATCTTCTGTAGGTCTTTCTTTCTGTATGTGTTTAACAGCAGAGTATCAGGGATGAGTTCGTCAACGGTAGACAAAAGACTTTTTCTCCTGCTCATTTCTTAGCAATAGATACTCCACAACCAGGAATGACAGTGTGGACAAAAGACTAGACATTAATTTATCTTCCCTATATGACCCTGATGCAAATGAGGAAAATGAAAGCAAGCAATCAATTCCCTAATTGGGTTTGCGCTATTTTAACTTGTTAAGGGGGCCTCTGTCTAGATTAAAGAGAAGGTCAATTTCTCATTGTGACAATTACTGTATTCATTTCATAGTGCAACAAAGGAATCCAGCAAGGGTTGGTACGAGAGACTGCAGTGAACCAGATGCCTCCCCATTGTGAGAGTCTACCATCACAACAGCTTGTTGAGCTCAGTTATCACACTCAATTACAATCTGCAGACACAACTCTTTGGTCCGAAATTATACATCTAAATTACAAAATAAAGATCACTATAGGTCGCTTTTTAAATTACTTTACAGTGAAAGTGCATTTTTATAAGAGATTTGACAGAACTTCGACAACTCTGATGAAGAAACGGCAAACGTGTCTTTTCAAATGTTAAAAAAACACTGACATAAAAAGATTAGTCTGGTATTAACACAGACTTCAGGCTTAAAGCCTGTGAAAACTTTGTTTCAAATATGAGTATTTCTCTGTAAGTGTAAATATTTCTTATTAAATGTAATGAAAGTTTTTATTTTTTAAGATTTAAATACTGAAAAACCTTTCTAATCTTCAGTAATTTATTTGAATATTGCTAAATCTTTACTTTTGCACACAAATACCCTTTAAACCAGTGAAAAGAGCACAGACATAACAGCACAGGCAGACATTTCTACTGTGAAATAACTGTTCTAACGGCAGAAAAGTGCATGCTCATGTAAGACCACAATAATCACATTTTCAGGGCCTTTAAAAAAAAAAGACAATGTTCAAAAGATGACTTTAGTGTGTTGCTCCAAAACAAGCACAGATATGTTTCAGAAGTTTCAGCAGAGGCCCCGAAAGCTGAGCGCCTGCAAAGCTGCAGTGGAGCATTTATTTTGGCTTCCTGAGAAACAAATCAGACTGTTGATATACAGCTTGAGTCAGCTACTCCCTCACGTCACATCAATAGTTTATTTACCAGCAGAGAGAAACCACAGAATTAGAATAAAAATTAGTTTATGTATCCCTGTGCTGAAAGCAATGCATTCAATTACTCAAACTGAGAACTTCTCTTGAGGGGGAGTGAGGAGGATTTTTGCTGCATAGCCATATATCACAAAGCAAAGAGTGGGAGAGCAACATGTCACGTCTGCTGGTTAATTTCTGTTACCGTGTTTTCTTGTTCCCTTTTCCCCCTATTGGGAGGGAGGGAAAGACAGAAATCTGTTAAAAGCTCTGCAAACCAAGCAGCCTTTTAACAAGATGCACTTAATCTTTCTGGTGTTTGCTTTAGTTAAGTAAGGGATTGGCTCTGTGCAGGCCCGGAGTGGCTGCATGTAGATGCCAGCCGGTTTGTGAACTCTGACCTCGTATGGAGTCTTTATCTGCATTTGCACAGGTTTCAAAGCAGGGCAAAGCCAAGCGGACCAATAAGATTAAATATAGACCTATTCTGCAAGTTGAATGCATCACCTGCACGTCCCAGTGCAGCATATGGGTTCAACCAGAGTTCATGTTGTTAGTATTACAGGCCTTTCATGCTCTCAAATCTCACACAGATCAAAAGGGCTTTGTGAGGTATGCCACCATCAGCCAATTAATGCCCACGAGTACAGCTGCTCTGATGGTAAGGCCAAGACTAAGCACTTTTCACAGCTAAATACCTCAACATTTTTTCACCACGCCAACCTCATTTTTAGGCAATTATTCAGCTCTTTTGAAAGGTTTTGTAATTCACACCCCACATATTGCATAACCGGAGTCACAGAAGTGACCTTGAACTGCTTGAGTCAAGTAACAAACCCGCTGGGCTTTAGCGAAGGGGGATCTACACAAATCCTACCCACATTAACGGCAAGGAGACACAGTCCGGCAGATTGAAGTGAGGTATTTTCGGCTTAAAAGAACCTCGCTTTAGATAAAAATCTTGGGGGCAACAGTTACTGTTCAGGCATTTAACTGGCTCTTTACTCTTAACTTAGGCTGACCTAAGACAACCGCAGAGGGCTTTCTCACTCAAGGACACTGCAACAGGATACACAGCTGCTGCTGGGATTAATCTGGTGATGGGAGAGCGAAAAAAAAAAAAAAAAACCACTAGGCCTCTCATCCTCAAATCACAGCTTCCTCTGACCTCATAGTGATATCCCAAATTACATGCTAGTTACAGGCTTGAATAATCATGCTCACAAATCGTGCTTTAGCCTTATGCAGTTTCTCATGAGGCTGACTTTATTATTCTTTGTAGTGAGTCACATCCAGGCCCATCTATACTGTTCCACCTACGCCAAGTTTTCAGTCTTGTACCACATATATTAATGTGCATGGCCCGATATTAACGCCCTCAAAGTTGCGGCTTTAATTCCCTCTGCACTGACCCATGATAAACTGCAGCCACAGTGCTACTAAAAGGCACTTCTTGTATGATTGTTTGAACACAAACATCACTACACTTAAACAGATTCTCCAACAGACATGGCATTACAGAAATTACACATAATGAACTGAACCATTAGTCATCCTGCACATTAAACAGACCCAATGCCCCAGTGATGTAAATACAGGGCACAGTTTTACAGTTAAACATGGCACATTCAATGTGACTTACTACTCATCAATTACAGCTTTAAAAATGAAAGCAGAACAGTTAATAGCCCCAAAGTTAAGGGATAAAGAGGTAACAGTGCCACCTAGTGGTGACTGAAACAAAATATCTGTTAAATCAATTTTAAAACAATACTACAAGAGTAAACCATCAAGTGTATTAACACAATCTTTAAACAGATTAAATAATCCCTGACAATAACAGTACTAAGGAATGCTCGGAGCTTGATGCACACAAATGTTTACCATGACACAGTAGTATGACGTAGCAGCGGCAGAATGACAAATCTAAACAATGATTATTTTTTTGAAACCAAGATGAATGACTGAAAGCAACCCAGTTTGGCAACTTCACTATTAAATGTCACATGAAACAATGCATGCTTGTCATTTCTGAATTCCTAGATTTCCCAGTCTACTGGTAAATTTGTCCTTGTCAATGTTCTTGTGCTCTGGGACATGTTTGAAGGTGCAGTCCTGCCTTGTGCAGCCCGTGGTCCTCCAGAAAAAGCACTCCTTCTTGTAAAACGGGCTACAACAACAGGGAAAACAATTTCTCACTTCACGATTCAATTCTAGAGATTCATGTCTAAGTTAAGGGGAGGTTAAATACTTTAAAAAACATAATTTTCCTTAGGACTCATAACCAAAGTGAACAGTGCTTTGATCAATAGGAGGGAAAATAGCATGTTCTTACCCGGGTCGTGAAAACGAGTCTGTGGCGGCAAATTTGGACGCACCCAGTCCAGTGTGGATCTTATTGGGATATCGCACAGATAGTGGGGCCCCCTCTACCACCAATCCCTGAAGAGGAAACAGACATTTAACATCGGACAGACACACACGCTCAAATAAACAGCAGTTAAAATGTAAATCAAAGTAATCAATGTTCTGTAAAGTAAAACTCTGGGCCAGACCTGGACTTAAGTTTCCATCATACAGATTCTGAACATCTGCTTCCAAATTTATAAATTTTTTGTGTGACTTGTTCGTAAGGCAAATAGATCCTATTTTTTAGTATTTTATCTTGGGTGGTGATGGCTCATAGATAAGATGCTTGCCTTTGGTGTGGGAGACGTGGGTTCGATTCCCACTGTGAGACATCCACCATTGTGTCCCTGACACTATTTGCTCCAGAGGTGTGCAACCTCTGACATGTATAGCAACTGTAAGTCGCTTTGGATAAAAGCATCAGCTAAATGAATAAATGTAAATCTAAGGCTGCAAAAAAAAATGTATTATTATTTTTGCTAATAATATTTCAGAAAATAAAAGATATCCATCAGTTTCCCAGAACCAAAGGTGACATTTTTAAAATGTCTAAATGTGTTCCTGAGTCTGATGAAAAGTTAAAATTCACTTTATTAGGTGTAAGTATTCACATTTGCAATCAGAAACCTGAAGAAGCTTTAGCCAATAATAATAATTGCACGTAATTATTGTTTCAGCTCTAGTTTCCTCCATCATTCAAAGGGGTCAGTAAGAGCTAGAAAAAGTGTATAAAGGAGGTATAAGGAAGGATTGACTTGATAACTTAATTTATGAATTTCTTTGTAAACTTTAAAATCACTTTTGAAAAATAAATGTTCTGTGTAAAAGCTGTGCTGGAGTCACACAGCTTAGGAAAAAAAAAGAGAAGCTGCTTTACAAAGAGATGACTGATAACATTTATGTCAGAGGTGATTTGTATAATAGGAAAATAATGCAGATTTAGTGAAGCAGACAGACTTGACAGAGGCTCCAGTTGTCACAGTCACTGCTTTTATAACCCACACACACACACAAAAAAAAAGCATAAAAAAAAAAACACCTTTCTGCTCTACTTGGAACTTGCCACTGTATGACTATTATATTTTCTGATTTACTTCTTAATATTACTTCTTACAGGAATATTTTGCCTGAAATAAATCCCTGTGCCCATCGGCGTCGCCAGGTCATTTTTCCGGGGACTGTAGCCCCGAATGTAACTCAACAACAGCAACCAAAATATTTTCCATGTTAATATGCAATAATCAGGATGCAGGTTGCAGGTCTTTAAAGAGCGGAGGCTACACGCAATAATACTGCCACCATTACTCAGCCTGCCTGCGTTTAGAGAGAGCACAAGAAGAGAGAGAGAGAGAGAGAGCATTGCTCATAGCTTCAGGGCTTTTCCACGACTTCTGAATTGTCCCTAGCAAAACTGTAATCAATACATTCAAATATAGATGTTAACAGTCGCCGCAAAGTGAGAGAATATCATGACACACCTGACCGCGACACCAACACCTGTCGCTCTGTGTCCCGCTGTCTCTGTCCCACTCGCTCAGAGACACTTTGCTCTGTTTGACTGTCTCTCTACTCCAGGATGCTTCATTCCCTCTAAAAGCGGATGTGAGCTGCACTTTCAGAGGTGCTGAAGTGAACATTTGTGTGGAATTGTGGTGATATTTCTGTCTGATCACAAGTGTTTTCAGTTTTGGTTTTCTTCCTCTGATGAAGAGCAGTGCGCTCCTCTCATCGAGTAGGCTACAAGTCAAATTATTTATATTGGCCAAACTGTTTTTTTTTTTTTTTTATTAAAAAAAAGTATAGGCCTAGACTGACATTGGGCTGGCCCAATCGCATCTCTTACAGTACCCACTCCCACCCCCTCTGGTCGAACTGTTGTGGGCCAAAAAAGAATAATTCGCCAAATGTACGTAAACAACCGATATATAGTATATAATCTATAATAAAAAAAAAAAAGCACACACACACGCACGCTACTGACTTCTGCATTACATTGTATTATATTTTTATATTCCGAATTGTCACCTGCCACCTAAATTGAGTCCTTCCCTTTATAAAATAAAGACATTTCCACCTGTTGCTATATAGATGTACTTTTGGTAGGCGGCAATGGGGGGTGGGGGGGTTAAAACATGAAAGTTCTGCAGTGGGCTAAGCCCCCGATATTTCAAGAGCCTGGAAACGCCCCTCCCTGTGCCTTTGTGGTCTGTAGTATACACATTTTTAAGTTTTAACAATTTCAAACTCATTCAAAGCCTTCATTTTGTGGCTCCAGTTCAAGATTTTGGTCAAAGATGAATGTAATAACTGCTCTGCTGCTATTAGGATATATAATAGTTAAATATCAATCAAATACTACAGATACATACATTAATACACTGTATGGCTCTGTCACAGTCTTCCTTTTTGATGTAGTTCACGAAGGCACACTGGTGTTCCAACAGCATCTTGATGCTGTAGACCGTCCCAGCTCTGAGAGGGAGAGAGAAAAGAGTGCAAGCACATGACCTGAAATCTTTAATATCAATGCAGGGCAACTCACTTTTCACACCTGAGCCTTCTGGTGGTCAAATTCCAAGAACAAATCATCAATATGGCAGTGTATGCATAGTGCCAGTTCTTTATCCAAAGCACGTCAAGGACTCTAAATCAAATGTGTGTGTCTTTATTCTACAAAATTAAAGCAGTCGTTCTTTTATTCTTTGTAGTCTTGTTGCAGAAATCTTCTGCATCTACTGTGAAACTGAACTCAAACATCTCAATGAGTGCTGAATGACATCTTCAGACTGCGGTGCTTCACCTGCTGAAGAGCTCGTGGAGTGTTGTGTAGGTGACAGCAGGGGCCAAGGATCCAACCCAGATGGGGAAAAGCTCCCTTTATACAAAACAGATATAATCAACAATTTAAAATGATGTTGCACTAGGTACAATTCAGCAAATTATCCTGAAAACTCACACCCAAATCTGTCAACACTCCACATCAACATCTGTTCTTGCAAAGATACTTGCCTTT